AGTGTGGCTGGTGGGTGGGAGCGTGGCTGGTGAGGAGGGAGTGTGGCTGGTGGGGGGAGTGTGGCTGGTGGGGGGAGTGTGGCTGGTGGGTAGGAGTGTGGCTGGTGGAGATGCATGGAAAAGTTGGTCAGAAAAAAAAGCAGTACAAATAGAACAAAAATTGGGATTGGCATTGAGCTGCCAATTTTTACATTTTGTGAATTAAGAGCATTAAAGAAAATCACATTTTAGCCCTGAATACAGGGGTTATGATATTAAAGGATCGTTTTCTAAAGTGACTACACTTCATGAAAATTGTACCACATTTTGTTTCCCCATTGCTCTTCTGCAAAGTTCATGCTTCTTGTACTAAGGAAACACTTCTTTCGTGTTAAAATATATGTTGTGGTGATTAAGACTATTAGAAGATTATTGACAAAACGTGAATTTAAATAATGTAGAACCCCACTTGAACTTTGTCTAAAAGCGTTATGCCTTTGCACCTAAAATCAGTCAGTGTGTCGTGCCTTAGTCCTATTTCTCTTTTCCAAACAGAGCTTTTGTGCTGCCTTGCACCAGGAACTCAGAGAATACTATCGATTGCTCTCTGTTTTACATTCTCAGGTAAATATTTTTATTTTAATTTCTTCATGATTTGAAGCGTTACAAAATTGAAGCTATATAGAATATTTTAACTTACTTCATACATTCCATTTAAAAGATAGCAATATTTTTCATAATAGTGTTTGTAAGGTTTAAATATCTATCAAGTTTCAGTGTCTCCTAGAGCCAAATTAATTGCTAATTTTTGGGGTTCTGCCAGTTAAAGAAAGGGTACTTGTAGCTTAAAAACACTTGTTTTTTAAAGGGGACTTTGGCTTCATTTTTATGAGTATGATCATTTTCTTACATTCGCTTAGTGTAGATTAAGAAGTGTGACCTATGTAGTTATTCGTACTTAAACATTTCTATCTTTATTGTTTTCTAGCTACAGCTGGAGGATGACCAGGGTGTGAATTTGGGACTTGAGAGTAGTTTAACCCTGCGGCGCCTCCTGGTTTGGACCTACGATCCCAAAATCAGACTGAAGACCCTTGCGGCCCTGGTGGACCACTGCCAAGGTCCCGTGCGCGGCCTGCGCTCACTTTGTTTCAGAACTCATTTGTAGGGGCGCCGTGCGGGCTTTTGCTTTTGTGTCCTGCCCTTTGTTTTCCTTAACTGCCACGAGGATTCAGTAGGAACCGATGGCGATTAACCGAGAGGGAACATAACCAGTTGCCAGTGTGGCCCGGTAGTTACAGGGCAGAAGCCGGGCGTGGCGTTGAGAGGAGGTGGGAAGGGGGAGGGTGTCTGGGTTTGAAGGTCTCTCTCGCCTGTCCTCGTCCTCGGCCGTGGCTCCCCACCGTGCTTGCCACTCCCTTGGTGGCCTTCCTTGCATTTTGCTTTTCGCCTTTATTCCTTCTGTGGTCAGGGGCCGTGTTGGTGTCGGTGTTTCTTTGTCAGATGTTCCCATATTTGTGTCTTGCTTTGGCCTCTCTGGCTCCAGGTTCTGTATTTCGACTTGCTTCCTGACATCTTTTCTCACTGTTTGTGCTGCCTTATCCAGGAACCCCTTTGCTTTTTCTCTCATCTGCAACATTGAGATCCTAGCAGCCGCCACCTCTTAGGGTTGTTAGGACCGCATGAGATGGACAAGCCGGCCGTCTGCCACAGAGAGCTCCCTGCTATCTGCCTCCCTCTGCCCAGGGGGTCCCCAGAATCTGCAGGGCCACATGGTCGCCTTGCTGTCTGCACACCCTCCCCTCTCACCTCTTGGCACTTTCCTCAAAAGAGAGAGGAGTGGAGCACAGTGAAGAAACAGCAGCATTTTCTCCAGTTCCCAGCGCTCCTCCAGAACTGGATTCCCCCCAGACTCCTCTGTCACTTTCGGTGCCCAGCAGATTCCTGGGGTCTTTTACTCCCCTCACCCTGCTCGGCCTGTGCGCCTGGCCATGGAGCCGTAGGGGCTGTTGTCAGAGCTGCTGTCCGATCCCTGCTCAACCTCACACTCCCACTACACACTAGAGCCATCGTCTTAAAATCAGATTATTTCACTCCTCTCCTTAAAATCTTCCGCTGGTCTGATAAAATTAGCATAGTATGAGAACCCTTCATGTGCTTCTGTTTCTGGAGCGGATTTTTGCCATTCCCAGTCCTTCATACTGAGTAGTTCTGGCCAAGGCCCAGGGGCCCCCTCTCTCCACTCAGAGCAGTGTTTCTCACACTCAATGTTGTTACCAGTTAATGGGTCAGGAAACCAGTCAGTGGGTTGGGACTAGCATACCATAACAAAAAAGCGAGCAAGTGTTGATTCATACAACTTTTGTTTTTCATACATATTAGTGCCCTGCATTGCACTAGGAAGTGTGAATCTTAGTATGTCTCAAGTAAAAAGGGTGTGAAAAGTCATGTGAACTTTAGATTGTGTAGCCAGCAATTTTTTGCTACTTTTTGTTTCTGAAAAATTCCTCAGCAACCCTAAAGAGAGGAGTAACTCACAGACTTGGGTGAAGTAGGCTTAGAGTTTGTACCTCCTGGTTTCTGAAACATTACGTTACTGCTGCTTCTAGGTCCAAAGTGGTATTAACCATAAGAAAACAAATGCGCTTTATCTCAATTACTTGGGCATCTTTGGTTAGTGTGAAGTGACTGGTGTGTACTATGAGTGTAAATGTGGGTGTTTTTATGTATTTTCCCCCATTTCTCCCAGGAAGGAAAGGAGGTGAGCTGGCCTCGGCTGTCCATGCCTACACGAAAACAGGAGACCCATACATGCGGTCCCTGGTGCAGCACATCCTCAGCCTCGTGTCTCATCCCGTTCTGAGCTTCCTGTACCGCTGGATATATGACGGGGAGCTTGAGGACACTTACCACGAAGTAAGGATCGCTGTTCAGTTCTGAGACTTGGATTTAAAAAGCATGGCCATGCAGTAATCCCTCCCCCCCGCCATGATTACCATATTCTCTTAACAGGAATACGACTGCACTTCATTTGAATGCCATATACATTTCACACAGTGCCTTGACAGCTGGTTATCTCACTGAACAGCAGATGCGTTCATGAGTTCTTTGGTTAGTGGAAAATTGTCCCCGTTTATTCCTCAGCAAAGTCAAATTATGTGTCCAAGTTTACTAGCACGTGGATGGCAAAGCAGGACCAGGCCTCCTGAGGCAAGCCTTGCTGCAGTCATCATGGCAGGTTCTGCCGCTTTGCCGTGATAACTTTGCAAATTTACCGATGGACTGGTGCTAACTGCCTAATGAAACAAGTTAGTGCATATATAGCTATTGAAATATAGGCGATTTTATAACGCAGCATGTGCTGCTGAAAAATCACACGATAGAAATGGTAGGGCTTTTGGTGGAAGGTGGGGTGAGGGGCACCATACTCAAAAGCTTTGTCAGTGACATTAAAACAACAGAAAGACAGGAATCTAACACACGTTGTAGTACAGTTGAACATGCTAAAGGTTAGCAGATACCTAAGGACTGCAGTAAAGATCACACTGACCTTGGAAAAGCCCTGGCGTTTGCTTGTGGGAGTGGGCTGTAGGGGCCACAGCCTGTGTGTGACGGGAAGTGGTGGTGGCCTGGCCATTGAAACACAGGTGTGCCTGTGTGTGGGCGCTGCTGGGTGCAGTGGCCTGTGTTGTACTGTTTCTCATGGGTGAAATTGCAAATAAGCAAGTAGGAAGTTTGTGTTATGTTCAGTTTGTTTTCTTATTTATTGTTTGTGCTGTTATGAGTTGTTTTTAAAGCAAGAGAGGAGCAGAATTGACTCTCTGGACAGCGTGGCGCATGGGCATTGGCACCGTGCCAGCTGCTCAGCCTGTGTTGTAGCTCTTTCCTGACGGGGTGTGTAGTTTTTCTTATTACTGGGAATTATTTCATGGTAGGGACAGATCTGTTTTCATCTAGCCAATCCTATTGATGGAGAGGATGTTCTTTGTAGTTTTTAATCTTATGAACAGTACTAAAATGAGCATCCTTTTATGTGTCTCCCTGCATGTATTTATGAGTTTCCCCAAGGTGGGTTCTGGGAGGTGGGGTTGCTGGGTTGTGGGGATGCATATTTTAAACTTGGATTCTGCCTCGTTGTGCTCAGGAGTGGCTCTCCAGGTTTACCCAACTATCAGCTTTCTGTTATGGGCCTCATTCCCCTGTTCTTGTCAACGCTTTGTATTACCTAATGTTAATATTTTCACCTAATGCACAAAATATGCCATCTCACTAGGATGTTTATTTGCATTTCACTGGTTACTAGCGAGACTGACCAGCTTTTCATGCTTATATAAGGTTTTTTTTTTTTTTTTTTTTTTTTTTTCTAATTACCTGTTATTATCCTTTGCCCATTTTTCTTATTGATTTTTTTCTCTTTTTATGATAGTATTATATATGGTTTTATATTTTCAATTATTTTCTATATGGAATTTCTCTTTTAAATTTTTTTCCCTCATTCTTCCAAACTTATGAAAAAGTTGCAAAACTAGTACAAAGAATCATTGTACTGTTGACTGAGCCTTAATTGAGACTCCACAAAAGCTTTAACCACATTTTATCATGAACTAAATTTCTCTATATACTTGAATTTGTTTCTGGATTGTCTTTTTTCTGTTTGCTTTTTATTTGTCAATGTTATTTATATGACTCTACTTTCTATTTGAAATTTGGTAGAGGCAGTCCTTACCTTTTGTTCTTTTCACAATTTCTCTGTTGTTTTTGAACATTTATACTTAGATATGAATTTAGAATCAGCCTGTCAATTCTGTTAAAAATTCTTTTCAAAATTTTTGTAGGGATTGCATATTGAATTTAGAGATTAAAAAGGGTTTTCAGGCTTCTTGTGTTCCTTTCGATGAATAAACTTTTTTTTTTTTAAAAAATTGAAAGCTTTGAAAGGTATGTTTTTACTTTACTAATGATTGCCTAAAGTTTTTCAAAGCTTTCGTGAGCCTGTAACTTTCTAAACATTAAAATAATGAGTAAACCGGTATTTTTAACCCCCTTCTCCATTAAGATGAAGAATCATGCCCATTTCCCAGGTTCTGCATACCTGCATGGACTGCCACACTCTTAATCTCTACACCTTTTGTTTAAATCTAGGTTGTTTTATATTTTTATTTTTTTATATGCAATTTATAATAAGCCACTATCCAAGTCAAGAAATAGTACTTATCAATACCCTATTTTGTACCTGTCATTGTTCCATTCTCCTTAAAGGTAAACTTGATACTGACTTCTGACACTGTAGTTAGCTCAGTCTTATTTTAAATCTTGTATAATGTTCAGTGTTAAAATACATTTACACGCCATCTATAGAGGCATATTTGTTATTCATCATTTAAGTTTGAATCTTTATTTTTAGGTCTGTTTCTGGAAAGCATCATAAAATTATTTTGACTTAAAGTTCTAAACTTAATGTTTCAAGAGTAAGTGGAGACTTACAAGATTTACTGTTTAGTTTTTATCACCATGGTAAGATGGCAAGGACACATAGGTAATAGGCATTTCCTTTGATAGAGTGAGACTTGTCATTTTTAATGCATTTATGTTCAGTTATTTCATAATTACGGGATGAGATGAATTTTGGAAGCTGTTTAAAAACTTGTGCAATTGATTATTTAGAATGCATATTAAATCTCCTGACCATTATCACAATAATCCAGATTATCTGAGTTTAAAAAATGTGTCACATAATGAGTTTATGGGAGTTTAAGTGATCTTGTGGTTAAGAAAATGAAAAATCAATGTTTTATTTTGAGAACGCGTGTTCTTTTATATTACCATGATCTGTATGCTCTCAGCCATGCTTACCAATGTAGGTGTGTGAGAAACATTTTGGCCAGCTTCTACACTGGAAATAAAAAGTTCTGTGTGTTACTGTTTTCAGTTTTGAGGCATATCTTCTCAGAATCCGTTATAATTGTACCCTTCAGAACTACAAGATGATATTTTAAGGCAGTCTTTAAAAATTAGAGTTATAAAAATGAGAAAATTTACTTTTTATTAAAGAATCTGTATCCTCTTCATTCAATAATTAATATGTCAATTATAGTATGAATTTGGGTGATTTTAACTTTTCTAATGATTGCTGATAAGTTGATAAACCTGGTTTTCTGCAGTGATAGCGTGGGAATTGTTGAGCTTTCATACGATTGGATTAGATACTGCTAACAATTAGAACAAGAGTCAAAGCCGCAAACTGGCTAATTGTCTCTTTTGACTTTAGCACCTAATTTGTAATACTTTTATCTTTTTCTTGAGAATAATTTAGTTTGCCTATTTCTCACAACCAGGTTTTTAAAGTACTACTTAATTGAACCACCAATTCCTTACATTTGCCTGTGTTTTTTTTTTTTTTTTTTTTTTTTTTTTTTTTTTTTTTTTTTT